CCAACTTCCCCTCTCTCAAAATCCAAGAAAAGAAACCCCTAAATTGGAATCTGGTGAGTACCCCTTTGAAACTAATTCCAAGTGAGGTAAGGCTACTGAAACTAATTACAACTATCACAACAACAAATCGCCACCACAAACCAGAATAGAGCTAGCCTTTATCTTTGATGGGTAAAGAAAGCATACATGTACATATTAACATGAAATTAAACCATGTTAATAATCTTTTTTCTTTCTGTTTTTCTCAACAATCCCACTGTACATGCCTTAAGTTTAGTCGGTACCAGACAACCCACTCTAGTTTCTCTCATCCCAACACTTGAAACCAATTAACAAGGTTAATTTAACATCTATTTCTAAACACTGCTCAACATCAATCAATTTATTTTTTATATGGAAGAGCAACTATTATCTGTTACTAGGAGCAAACTAGCAACTATATATGAATAATGGAAGAGACAAAAGTAATTTAAAATCCAATCAAAGGAAACTGTAAAGGCAAACTAGCAAATTATATATGAATAATGAATATGAACATGAAGAAAAGAAGCAAATGAAGACAATGACGTAAATCTATCGAAATCTCGAAGAGGGCTCAGAACTAGTCTCTTCTCTTTCTTCTCTTTCGAACTATCGGATAAGGCTCAGAACCAGTCTCTTCTCTCTCGAATTCTCGGAGAATGCAAATTTCACTTTGGTTATTTTGAAACAAAATTCCCTCTTATTTTTTTATGGCAAACCTTGGTCTGTAAACATTTTTGCATCGAAAATAAATGTATTTTTGAACCCTAACCAAATAAAAGCAAATCTAAACCAGAGTGCAAATTTGCAACGGTTCAGATTTGCACTCCAACCAAACGCAGCCGGAATGTCATTATCAGGTTAGTGGAACTCATTTATTTATGGAAATTCTTCTTTTCATACAGGAAATTGTTTCGATAAATATACTCCATGCAAGTGTTGATGTTGGTGCATTTTCCGGCAATCCTGAGCCGGATTTGTTAGTTCGATGGTATCAGCTTGGTGCCTTCTATCAATTCTTTAGAGGTTATGCTTACCATGACACCGGAAGGCGAGACGAGAACCTTTGGTTGTTTTGGTAATATATGTCCAATTGATTTCACATTCTAAGTTTACTTTTGATTAATAGTGTAGAATCTCACTCTCTCTCAAAAAATTATCTTTCCCCTTTATTGAATTCTTTATAAAGAAAAGGTCACATTTGAGTATTTGAGCAATTGAGCGTACTTGATTTTTTAAGTGTACCTCTTGGTCTATTGTTCCTGTAAAGATTGTATACCAGAGAGTGCACACTTCTGGTTAGATAAATCTTCATATCTTATTTTATGATATGAGTTGCCAAGGTTTAAAATATCAAGACATGACAATACGCTGGTTAGGGCGTATCAGCATGTATCAATCTGCGCTTTTATTCTGTTTTTTTTTYCAAACTGGTTCAGGGAGGTGATGGGGTCGATTTAAGGTCTGTCTGCCCTCTCAACCAGGTCAGACCCCAAAACACCCGCTGTAGTGGTGTATTGGGAGTTCATCAATACAATATGTGTCGGCCATTATCTATACTACTTTAAAAAGCACGAATGGCCTCAATAATATTTTTGAAATTTCCTAAGGATAAAATTTACTCCTCTATATTTAAATTTATTAATAAAAAATTAGGGCAAATAGTGTGATTAATTCTTGATTTTAAATGAGTTGAAAATAGGTAATTTAAAGATATTCAGTTCATTTAATTCTCTCTCATTAAATCCAACATTTGAGTTATTAACTTGCATTCATGTTCATTGAATCATATATTTAAGTCATTTTTGTTTCTTCTTATCATTAAGTTCTATTAATTAAATCCATACTTAATGAACTAATTATTCCAATAACATAAAAACTTATACTTTTAAAATTTACCTAGCAAAAATAATATTTTCATCTAGGTGGTGGTAAAAAATTAAATCATTTTGGGTCAAATGGGATAATCCATGTTGCCACGACTAAATAATAAAATTAAAAAATAGATAAAATGAAAAAAATAGAAATTAAAAAAAAATGGGAACATTTTTAACAAGTATGGTAAATAAGAAATGTTTTTATTAATGATGGAAATGGAATGTAAAATTTAAAACCAATTGGAAATAATAATATTTTCCTATTCTCTCTCATTAAACCCTATATTTAAGATATATTTTTCTCATCATTAAATTCTTGTAATTAAGTCCACAATGTTAATTTTAATAATATAAAAATAAATATTTTGAAAAGTAATTTAAAAACAAAACCATTTTCTTCCCTCCYAGTGGTGGGCAAGCAATTCAACCATTTGGAGTTAAATGGATTAATAAATAATGCCATAATTAAATAATAAAAAATTAAAATAAATAACTATGAAATGTAAGAAGTATTTTTATCAATTGATAAAAATGGAATGCCAAATTCAAAATCTACCTAAAAATTAAATGATGTCATAGTCAAATAATAAAATTTTTAATAATAAAAAACACAAAGAATCACAAAAAAAAAGATAGAGAAAATTTTGGGCATATATCTAATGTTATATATTTATAAATAAAATAAAATATTCGGTACATCTCTAATATTGTGCATTCATTATATTAAACAAAAATAAGTTTTATATATAATAAATAATTTTTTCAATGATGGAAATGTAATACAAAATTTAATGCCAACCTAAAAATCAAACAATTTTAGTTTTTACATGGTGGGTTAGTGGTTTGAGCCAAATGATATCATAGGCAAACAAAAATTGAGTGTGAAAAGTAAAAATATTTTATGTAATATAAATGAATATATAATTTAAAGGGAAAATTATAGTCAAAGTCGATTGTACATTTAAAATTAGGTTGCAGGTTGGTCCAAAAACCAACAAAACTCTGATCACCAGCTCTACATTTCAAATTATAAAAACCCCCACTATGTCTTCAAAGGCTTATGTGGTTGTTGTCAACATGAGACTTTTAGTCCATGTTGGACACAGCAAAAAACCTATACCGAATATAGGTTTTCAGTTTCTCTCCCACTCCCTTTGTCTCTCGATCTCCCTCCCTTCTCTCTCACTCTCACAATCCCGCTCCCTCTGTCTCTCCCACTCTCTCAGCTTCGATTTGTAGCCAAATTAAAACATCTATCTCTCTCTTTATTGTTCTCCCTCAATCTTTCTCATTTTTCTCCCTCACTTTCCCTTTCAATCAATATCTCATTCTCCCCCAATCTCTGTTGTTCTCCAATTGATGTAAATTTCATAGCCAAGAGTTTCTTGTGAATTTTTATCAAATTGGTGTAATAATTTTTAAACCATACCAAATTGGCCTCATGTTCTTTTATACAATATGATTAATACCATATAAGTATGTAAGAAAATAAAACAAACAAGAGAGAGAGAGAGAGAGAGAGAGAAACTGAAGGAGAATGATAGAAATTAAGGGAGAATGAGAGATTGACCAAGAAAGAGAATGAGGAAGAATTATAGGTAGAGAGAAATTGATATAGAGAACTAAATACATAAACAAAAAACCATTTTTATTTATTTTCAAATCACATAGTCATTGAGCAGATAAAGATGATTGTGAGTGAGATGGTGTGTGTGTGTGTGTATGTGTGTGTGAGTGAGAGAGAGACTAAAAACCCTTTTTTTTTATTTTCCAATCACCCAACATTAAAGGGAAATTTCAGTATAAGCTTTTTGTTGTGTCCAACATGGATTAAGAACCCCATGTTGGAAACAACCACATAAGCCTCCGATGACATGGTGAAGGTTTTTATAATTTAAAATGTAGAGCTGGTTGTTGGAGTTATGTTGCTTCATGAACCAACTTGTAGCTTAAGTTTAAATGTACAACCGGTTCTAACTATAATTTTCCCTAATTTAAAATTAATCCAAAAGCAATGTTATTTTCTTATCTAGATGGTGGATCAATAATCCAACTTTTCCAAGAAACCCATGATGTCATAATTGAATAACAAATATTTAAGTTTTTTTAATCATATTATTACTTTTGCTAATTTTCAATTTCTATCTTAACTATGATATATCTAAAATTCAAATAATTAATATGAAGAAAATTTTCTCATGTGCAACACATGTACTTAATTACTAGTACCCTAATACATTTCAATGTTTTGGTAGTTGCTGATTTCTAATAGGGCTCTCAAATATAGAGTGCATTCATTAGGGAATGTGTGGGTTAGTATCTTGATCTGCATATTCCCATGTTAATTAATTCTACTAAGTTTGAATAAATGGGGTAATAGGTAGTCCCCAATGAATGCTACTTGTTTCATTAACTTCTGTTTTTCTTGATGAAAATGCATAATTCCCTTCCAAAACTTACTCCATAAGTGGATTAGACATCCCTTTATCTCAATTAAATCTAGCAACCCTATACTCATAAGCTATAACCCTAACTTCAAACTGCATATTCCCCTGCTCTATCATAGCAGCTCTTTATTGGATTTTTACAAAATAGTAAAAGGATTTCAGGCCTTCGTCCTTATTCTTTAACTAAGAACATAGAGTGGCTTTAATCCACTTAGACTTTGTRAAATCCATAAACAATTGACAAAAATAAATAAATAAATAAACAACTGATGAAAAGGCATAATTCCCTTCCAAAACTTACTCCATAAGTGGATTAAGCATCGCTTTATCCCAATTAAATCTAGCAACCCTGTACTCATAAGCTATAACCCTAACTTCAAACTACATATTCCCTTGCTCTATCATAGCAGCTCTTTATTGGATTTTTACAAAATAGTAAAAGGATTTCAGGCCTTCGTCTTTATTCTTTAACTAAGAACATAGAGTGGCTTTAGTCCACAGACCCATCTGGTTCCATGGTAACACTAAAATGGGGTGATTCAACCAGTTGATGGTTCAAGCAATACTCCAATCTAATTTTAAGTTTCAAAAGTATATATGGGGGTTGAGGAGTTGATTAACCTCATGGCAAGGGGTGTTCATTGGACTTAGATAGTGAGGATAAATGTTTCATTTATGGTTCTTTTTTGGATTTTGAGAGGGAGAAAAGTTGGTCAATGGATTTTGGTTTTCATTCACCAAGATACCATATTCTTTATTCAAATTTATGTGGGGTTAATGAAAAAACTATTTCCGAATGCCCATCTAGGATTTTCGTTAGAGGCGCTCTCAAAGGGTTTTGTTTGGGGGCCCATCTAGGCTCTCCTTCCCCTTCCTCCTTTTGGTCTTTCTCCCTCTCTCCCTCTCTATCTGTTTTGAGAGAGCCTTCCTCTCAAGTTTTTCTCGAGGCTTCCTCTTGAGTTTTCTCAAGGTTTTGTTTTTTGTTTGCAGTTTAAATCTGTTCGTGGTTTTCCGACAGATGCTGTTCAAGGTGAGTTCCATTCGTAGTTTCTCCATCGATGGTGGTCGTTTGGAATTCTACTAACAGATTCACTCACCGTATGTGGTGGATTGGAGATGTGCTTATCTACTTCTATTGGTGACGTTTATTCACCTTTATTTGGTTGCAGAAGTTCTTTATGTTCTCCTTCATCCAGTTCTATGTTTTGTTCTCTTGAGAAATTGTTTATAGGTTTTTCTGATTGGCCTTTTTGGCAATTTTTTTATCAATTTCTTGATTGAATAGAATATGAAGCTTGTGGGCGGTTAAAAAAAAATGAAATGAAAAATTTATTTCCCCTGGGTATCACTTACCTGGGTAAATGATACCTATATGAGTAACTTTCTCACCTAAGGGAAAAGTTGCCAACACTTGGATGGAACAAAAATTACCCCTTTTAATAATAATTTGTTATAACTAAATTGGTCATTATCTTATTTACCTGGAAAATAAAAGAACGTGGAAAAATGCACTCACTCGAATATATTTTTCAGGAAACACTTACATAGATAAATGCATTTAGCTGGATAAGTAACTTCTCGAAAAGCAATTATAACCTACACGGTATCACACGTGCATACAACATACTATTTTGCTACAGTAAATGTATATATTGCCCTAATGCTGTTTCACTATGCTGAGGCTTGTTGAGTCCGAGTTTGACAGCCCAGGTTCCCAGCCTTATTGTCAGGTCTCAGGCCCAGCCAATGACAATCATCAAACGAGCACCGCGGCCCACCGAACGGGGACTCCACCACATCAATGGGCCTCATGAACATGGGCCCCCAAGATGGCGTACCATCCTCGTATGAGTTATGCGTCAGCCTGCGGATGCCCGAGCCGTCCGATCTAGCTATGAAGATATCACCGTACGGCTGATAGTGATGCGGGTTCGCTATGGGCTCAGCCGATACCGCCGCATAGTCGGACGTAAACACAAGGCTCTTCCCGTCCGGACTGAACCATGGGTGGTTGGTCCGACCGCCTTCACCGCTATGGACCACCTTCTTGAGCCCGGTCCCGTTGGGATGTATAAAGTAGATTGCGAAGCTGCCTCCGCCCGGGTTGTCCCGGTCCGACGCAAAGGCGATCCACTCACCATCTGGAGACCAGTTGCACATCGTGTCCGTCCATGGCCCCTCTGTGAGYCTGCGGACCCCAGCTCTCTCCCCTTCTAAAGCGTCCATCACGTATAGGTTCTTGTGACCGGAGCGGCCTGACCTGAACACCACCCACTTCCCGTCCGGAGACGGTGACGGAAAAGCATTGTTTTGGCCTCCGATCGTTAGTTTCTTGTATTGACCCATTTCGTCACCGTCGACGGTGATGGAGATTACATCAACTTCTGTGCTTTCCTCGGCGAAGGTCGGGCCGGCACTGGTGTAGATCACCCCTTTTCGTTTCCAGTCCCAAGCAGTGGCGAAGGCGGTGCCGGGGAAGACTTCACGCTTGCCGGAGCCATCGCGATTCACCACGTAAACGCCTGGAAATCCGGCATAGGCGATTCTGTTTCCGTCCGGGGAGAATGATGGAAAAGACCCGTCGATCCTGAAGAGGGAGATCTCTGGTGCTGGACTTGGTAGATTTTCGAGTAAAAGCGGGCTTCTTGTTCCTCCATTGTTGCTGCCTCTGCATCTGTGGTAACCCACTCGGGTCGAATCGTAGGACAGGAATGGGTTGAAGTGGTGGGCTTGTGGCGAAACAGGTCGAGTGACCTCTCTAAACTCATTGCGAACAAGGTCGAGCAGCTCGATATGGCGGAAATCGGAAGTGGGTCTCCTCGTGGCCAGAGCGATGAAACTCTTGTTCCCAGGTGAAGCAGCTGGCGTGAAAGCATGGACACCCGGTGGTGTGACTCGTTCTACTACCACCGACCCAGCACGAATCGACGGAATCGTTCTCTGTCGAGGAAGAATCGCTCTGTAGACACTCCACCAACCATCATCGCTTTTTCGGTGAAAATACAAGGTAAAATCATCAAGCCAACATGGCCAACCGCCATGTTCGACCAGTTTAATCCTCCCGGACCCATCACGAGTCCTGAAAACGTAGATATCCGTATCGAGCTCCTGAACTT